GCATTGGACGTCTACGATCTGGCCTCCATGTTTACGGAATGTTTTGTTTCTTATTAAATTTTGGGCGGTCCCGATGACGACGTGGATGGTGGTGCTATATATCCGAATAGAATCCTGCGTCTGATAACCACCGAAATCAACAACCTGACGTAAGCAGTCTCCATCTTCAGGTGGTCTTCAGGCTCGTCACCAAAGTTCAGAAATGCTTGCCAACACGACATGCAATCTGCTAGGCTTACGTTACACCGATACACAGCGCGGATGGTGTCAACCTGTTGCTGTCGCAGTCGAATAGGAATATTGCCATGAAATTTTCCTCAACGTTTCGCAAAAAAAAGTTAGTGCGCCATGACGATCCTCGTCGGGGTTCCATTTAAGGCCTTGTTCGGATGTGCATGTATTCATCTCAATCCACGTGTGTTGAAGTGGATTGGAATGAAATTAAACTAAATTTTATTCAATTCCACTTCAACGCATATGGATTGAGATGGATACCCATGTATCAAACAGGGCCTAACTCACCAACTCGAGGCGAGTCGCCACGTACAGCTGGCTTTCTAATGTACTCCGTAGAAAATATGATTATTATATATATATATATATATATATATATATATATATATATATATATATATATACTGGGCCCAACGTACACGTACTGAATGACTGTTCATTCGTTGGATATCTTGCTCCCTACGATACGGTCCCTTCTGTTCGAAGACACAGGGACTCCGCGGCGTTGACTCGATCGTAAGAAACACGTCTAGTATGTACTACTACACAACGAATATATGTTCCTAGCTACATCGACCGCGGCATGTCACTGCTTGCAGAAACACAACGTAACACATACGCAAACAGGATCATGGCGTCATGGTGGCCAACATTCCTAGGATTCGTCCTGCTGACATGCAACTCGGTCATCGCAATCCACAGGGCAGGCGGACACGCCGCCACGAGACTCTTCGTCGGCGCGACGTACGCCACCCTCGTCCTCCTCCTGCACTGCCTGCGCCGGTTCGAGACGGCACCGCCAGGCTCGGCGGCCAGGGACCGCGCCAGAGCCGGCGTCTGGCTCACGACCACGCTGCTGACGGCCATGTTCTCGTGGAGGGTCTCCGCGCTGATGCCGCCGCCCCTCGCGGCTGCCGTGTGGCTGACAGGGTGTTCCATGCTGATCGGGGGCTTCTATGTCTTGTTCCTTCTTCCCACTCCCAGGCCAGCCATTATTGACGATTGATATATGACAGGTTATCCAAATTGCATGTGCGTATATATGTTTGCAGGGGTGTGCTTGTGTGTGTGCGAGTGTGATTGTGTATTTATGCAGTTGCCAATAGGTACTTCAAGTGTGTATGTTATTAAGACTAATATATATGTATAAAAGATGAAATAGAGAGATCAGTGTGGAACGATTCAGATTTGTGCAGGCCTGCGCAACACAGGCAGGGACGAGGCACTCAGAGAGCGCGGCATGGCTGTTTTAATGTTGTGTATTGTTAGGGAGCACTACCGGAAACAATAGATTTGCCGAGCTGAGTGCATTCTATTGGGCAATAGCCAAATAAGCTCTTTGCCGAGTGCTGCAAAAAACACACTCGGCAAAGTAATGGCACTCGGCAAACAAACTCTTTGCTGAGTGCTGAAAAAAAAAACATTCGGCAAACTAGGAAAAAACACTCGGCAAAAACCGCAACTGAGAAGATATTGCAGATAGTTGCAAGGGTTATACTAATTAGGCAGCAGAGAGACCATACGTGTTGTTCAATCTTGTCTCACACATGCAATCTCTTCTCCTTTGTGCAGAATCAATCGGCGACATCGAATGAGCCTGATGACCCAGCGTGGTCGCAAGTGGAACTCGTGGCCTAAGTGACTACTTGTGATTTTTTTTTTGCATTTGTATTTGTAGATTACCTGTGACTACTTGTGACTATTTGTGGTTGTGAATGAACCTACTATTGATTCTAAAGTTTATTTGCATTTATGTGTTGTCGATATATCTATATGACCTGCCTGTGATGCTTATTGTGAACTATGTGTGATGCCTGTAATGTTTATTTAAGTGGGGTGCGTTATACGTGATCGAACAATAAAAATAGGGAATATATGGTCGCTTTGCCGAGTGTTACACTCGGCAAATTATTTTGCCGAGTGCCAGGTTAAAAACACTCGGCAAAGAGGATACGTGGCCAAAATCTGTGCATTCTAGGACTAAAATGACTTCTTTGCCGAGTGTCTGCGCTGTGACACTCGGCAAAGAAGCCAGCATTTGTACGTTCTGGGCCAGTCTTTGCCTAGTGTCCAGTATTTGACACTCGGTAAAGATGGCAGGTTTGTCGAGTGCCTTGAATTTGACACTCGGCAAAGAAGGCATGTTTACCGAGTGTTAGATTCTGGACACTCGGTAAAGAAGCCAATATTTGTATGTTCTGGGCCGGTCTTTGCCGAGTGTCTAGTATTTGACACTCGGCAAAGAATTCAGGTTTGCCGAGTGCCCGGGATTTAACACTCGGCAAAGATGACAGGTTTGCCGAGTGTTAGGTCCGGGACACTCGGCAAAGGCGCCGTGACCGTCTCCACGCCGTCGCGTTACTTTTTTCGCCGAGCGTCAGTTTCAACTCTCGGTAAAATATTTGCCGAGTGACCGATAGAAAACACTCGACAAAGAGACGTTTGCCGGCACAGTAGATGCCATGTGCTGTTTATCGATTGTTATACTCGGCAAATCCTTTGCCAAGTGTTTTGTGGGCTTTGCCGAGTGCCTGTGGTACACGGTAAAGCCACTGTTTCCGGCAGTGGAGGAATGTTCTCCAAAGAAACTCAACTCCAGTGCGCCCACACCTGCACCCTCAGATTTACGAAGGGTTAGCCTGTGAGCCTCGAGGCTCCTTTCCCGACGCCTACGTGTTTATATTGGTACGACATTTCTTCTCCTTCCTCCTCCTCACCCACCCACCCGCTTTACCCGCCACCTAGGCCACCAGCGGCCTCCACCCAAGCTCCACTGTTACTCTTTTTTATGACCCTTTCCTCTCAGGTTACATCTTCAGTGACTCCATTGCTCCCGCTGCCAACTCCGGTCAACCGATTGTCCTCCACCACATGCATGGCGGTGCCATAGCCGCCTGACTCGCCGTCCTTTAATTAACCCGCCACCATCATGAGGCCCTCCCCTTCTAAGCTCCCCTTCCTAATTTGGGTGGCATCTTCACGCGTACATCAGATTTATGAAGGGTTAGCCTATTAGCCTCGAGGCTCCTTCCCCGACGCCTACATGTCGATATAGGTACGAATGCACCATTTCTTCTTATTCCTCACCCCTCCCCCGCCTTGCTTGCCACCCAGGTCACCAGCAACCTCACCGCCCACCACCTAACCCCCATTGTTACTTCCTGACCCTTTCCTCTCAGGTTACATCATCGGTGACTCGCTCCTTGCTCCCGCCGCTAGCTCCACCCAACCGATTGTCCTCCACCACCAGCTCGGCGGTGCCATAGCCGCCTGACTCGCCGCCCTTTAATTAACCCGCCACCATCATGAGGCCCTCCCATTCTAAGCTCCCCTTCCTAATTTGGGCGACATCTTCACGCGTACATCAGATTTACGAAGGGTTAGCCTATTAGCCTCGAGGCCCCTTCCCCGACGCTTGCATGTCGATATAGGTACGAGTGCACCATTTCTTCTTATTCCTCACCCCTCCTCCGCCTTGCCCGCCACCTAGGCCACCAGCAACCTCACCGCCCACCACCTAATCCCCATTGTTACTTCCTGACCCTTTCCTCTCAGGTCACATCATCGGTGACTCGCTCCTTGCTCCCGCCGCTAGCTCCACCCAACCGATTGTCCTCCACCACCAGCTCGGCGGTGCCCTAGCCGCCTCACTCGCCGCCCTTTGACCTGCCACCATCACGATGCCCCTTCTAAGGCCACCCTTCCTAATTTGGGTGACATGTACGTTCATGTGTACATCGCCAACAAATAGCGATGCACATGCTCTAAGTAAAGATTTTTGTTAGCCTCAAGGGGTTCACCTCACAAAAAAGATGATTCCGTTGGCACGGCCCTCGCTGTATGTAGCAAAGTCTGGAGGCATGTTAAGGGGTTTTGCCCTACAAAATGTTCTCTACAAATGATGATGTCATGTATATGTTACTATTGACTCTAATGTGGTCCTAACTAAACAATGCACACACTCGCTATCTAGCAAACCCATACACGAGCAAAAGTGCGCGAGATAGTAGGAGGGATCGATGATGGAATCCACGCAAGATGAATATGATGATGCATGCATAATGGCTGGGAACAAGAGCTGTTGGAAGTTGCTAAATGTTCATGCACTTGCGGACTTGTGGTGGAACTAATATGGAGGCATGCACACATATGCCACGAATCCAAAACATAATTGCAGTGCATCCCTTGCGTAGTTTTCGTCAGAATGACCGAGATGTTAATTAAATTATTAATAAACTTGAGAAAGTCGGTCTAAATTACACACATAGCACTTAGAATCGTTGATTAACTTAAATTTTGAGATTAAATTCATATTCACTAGCTGCATCAAACAACCAAAATTCACATGATATATGAAGTCAAGAATGCATGCTAAGCAGCGGAAGAAGCAGCAAGCTGATGAGCATCCTTCTAAGCAGCAGTTTCAGTTCGATGACTAGGTACGTGTTCCTCAACTTGCATCCTTATGTGCAATCTTCTTTGGCAGCTAATTTCCTCGCGTCGGTGTCTAGAGCCACTAAGGCACACGCAAGGGAGAGGGAATGCCAACCTGTGTCTACTGTATCGCTTCCGACAACAGGCCTGGCAGCGGCGTCACAAGATGATGGGCTACTGGAGAAGAGACAGAGCCGGCCCAAGACCAAGAACGTGCGTCTCTGCGGACCGGAGTAGACTGGCGCGTGAACAGCCGGCGTACACCTGCACGGCGCTGAGAGCAGTCGTTTCCTGATATATATGTAATAGCTTTATTGTAGAAGGATCCATCATCAAACTTGTACCAAACTCAGAACTTGGCTAAGCAGTCCTCCTCTGAACTCTTCCCCAATTCCTCTGCCTATGCCAATTTCCAGTTCAATTCTATCGATAGCTAACAGCTTGGCAGCTACAACCAGTAAATTAAACAAAAACATTTTTGAAGAAATTGTACCGATGATGCTTTTCCTTTCTACTGGTTCCATGATCTAATTTGAGTCATAGGAGCTGAGTAGTAATCAGATGAAAGAATGCGGTGCCTATAGGAAAAAGCGCCTACCTGAGTGGGGTCTTGGGTCTTTGGTACATCCTTTGCAGAGTTCTTGGACGGAATCATTGTGATTGTGACCATATTTGCCAACAGAACCCTCCTGATCCTCACCCAGGTATACCAACTCAAGATGCACAAATATCTCCAATGAGATGCCCCCTAGATCTTGCAGAGATTAATTTGCAGACGAACCAAATCGAAAGCTAATATATATTGTGGTGGGGGGATCTATACCGAAGGAAGAGTTCCCTTTCTATCCAGCATCTGATATTTGTTTCGAATGAAGAATCCGATCTTGGTCTGTTTTGCTAAAGAGATGCCCTCGATCGAGAGGAAGCGTACAACTAAAAACCTGAAAACGATTCAATTAATAAAAAAAGACGACCTCAAATCACTCTCATGTATCGGTCCACTTCAACTTCAATCCAAATTCCAGACCTTATTTATTTATGTTGCACAAGGCCCATGGTGCGCATCAGAGATTCATACAGGGTTCAACAGACTTACTCAGTTACTCCATCTATATACTTACTGTAAGACATGATGAAGGCAGAACTGCGCTGCGCAGCATCGTGATCAGAACGAGCTCACTTGCGGCCATGGACAAACATGAGGTGGAAACCACCGAGCACTGTGGCAGCGGCCATCACCCAGGCCAGGATCGCCAAAGCCCAGGGGCAGCATCGTGCCAATCTTCCAGGTGAAGCCTGCCGTGAGCGTCGTGGTGAGGAGCCACACGGCCAGCCTGGCCCAGCCGCTGGCCACCGACCCAGGCGGCGAGAGCTGGAAACGGCGGGTGGCGTATAAGAGGGCGAGCAGGTTGAGGCGGGAGAGGCCGATGAAGGCGAGCGCGCCACGGTTGTCGCGGACGCGGCGGACGGAGAGCACGAAGTTGCCGGCGAGGACGACGAGGATCACCACGGTGGTCCAGGGGAGGCGGCGGGCGCCGTCGGGCGCCAGCTGGCGGTCGGAGGGATCAGGGCCCGCCATCGGGCTGGCGCCGGTGGTGGGGACTGGCCGACTGGGGAATAGCGGGGTTTCTTCGATCTCGGAGACCTGCTTCCTGTAGGAGACCGTGTGCTGCGGTGCTGCCTTCTTCTCTTAAGTCTCTTATTTACTCTTCTAGATATAATAATAATATATATATATATATATATATATATATATATATATATATATATATATATATATATATATATAGACACACATAGCAAAACAGATGAACCAAAAAAGTCAAAGCGACTTATAATTTGGAACGGAGGAAGTACCGATGACTAGAGCTAATCTTGTGTATAGTATAGTCATAGCGGCTACGCCGTGTCGTTGTTAGTTGCAGTCTATGCATGGTGTCATGTTATCAAGTCAGAAGTCCGGCCGGTTTCCTTTTAAAAGAAAAAAATAGCGGATTTGAAGAAAATGAATTCTTTGGAATAGATTACTATAGTGCGGTCTTTAAAAGACACCATGTGATTGAACGGTCTTCAGAAGCGACTATACAGCTAGATCTTATTTGGCTATCTATTTGCTCTTATTGACTATCTATTTGCTCTTATTGACGGTAACGGGGGATAGCATAGTGCTCGAGACGAAAACTTTGTTAATTTTAATTGTATTTTTTTCTGACACTTATTTCAATATTAATTCTTGTTTTTTTCTCAATATACAGTTCAGCTATAGAGGATATAGCTAGGATGCCTCTAGAACGCCGTCTTTTGTAATAAAGAAAATAAAAAAGAAAGAAAGAAAGAAAATGATATCATGCACGCTCGACTACTCCAACTACTTTTCTCTAGTACAAAATCCTACGAGTGTTAGGAAGGCCCCCTCTCTCAAGTTTTGGAAGTTGCTAGGAAGGTGCTCTGGATGTCTGAAAGCACCTACAGAGACACTTCCCGGTGGTTCCAACAAAAAGTAACTACGTATACATCAAGCAACAGTTGAAGTCGTAAGAGGATGTTTGGTTCATGACCGCCACACCGTGGCTGAGATTTTTGGCGCCACAACTATGGCAGGAATTTACACTAGAAAAACTGTGGCTGCTAATACTAAATTACCAACCAAACAACATCAGTAATTATTGTGGCAGCCTCCACTTGGCGGTTGCACTAGGTCGATGGGAACCGTACCAAACATTGTCTAATTCTCCCAATGCACACTACTAAAAGTCAAATTTCATCTTTTGACATTTGTTTTACCTTTTCAGTCCCAAAAGCCTGTTGAACATGGCCACGACGCACGTTTCACCCTGTTCTCCAACCTTTTGTCTGAGCAAGCTATCACTGCTTGTACGTACAAGCTATCCTGGTCATCTGCAATCTGCAAAGCCACTATGCGAGCCGATTCGAACGTTCGATGGAGACGTGGAAGCTGAGACTTCCATCCAGTGTGTTGCATTGGGCGTGGCCTCATCACAACATATTATTTCTTTTTGATTCTCTACTGAATATTAAAGAGAAGGGTTTCTTCTAACCCGTCTTTTATTCCTAAAATACCCCTGTACTCTCCATATCCCTTAGATGACAACCTGTCTTTTATTCCTAAAATACCCCTGTACCCGATTGTCCTCCTCCACCAGCTCGGCGTTGCCCTAGCCGCCTCACTCGCCGCCCTTTGACCTGCCACCATCACGATGCCCCTTCTAAGGTCACCCTTCCTAATTTGGGTGGCATGTTCATGTGTACATCGCTAACAAATAGCGATGCACATGCTCTAAGTAAAGATTTTTGTTAGCCTCAAGGGGTTCACCTCACAAAAAAGATGATTCCGTTGGCACGGCCCTCGCTGTATGTAGCAAAGTCTGGAGGCATGTTAAGGGGTTTTGCCCTACAAAATGTTCTCTAGCAAATGATGATGTCATGTATATGTTACTATTGACTCTAATGTGGTCCTAACTAAACAATGCACACACTCGCTATCTAGCAAACCCATACACGAGCAAAAGTGCGCGAGATAGTAGGAGGGATCGATGATGGAATCCAGGCAAGATGAATATGATGATGCATGCATAATGGCTGGGAAACAAGAGCTGTTGGAAGTTGCTAAATGTTCATGCACTTACGGACTTGTGGTGGAACTAATATGGAGGCATGCACACATATGCCATGAATCCAAAACATAATTGCAGTGCATCCCTTGCGTAGTTTTCGTCAGAATGACCGAGATGTTAATTAAATTATTAATAAACTTGAGAAAGTCGGTCTAAATTACACACATAGCACTTAGAATCGTTGATTAACTTAAATTTTGAGATTAAATTCATATTCACTAGCTGCATCAAACAACCAAAATTCACATGATATATGAAATCAAGAATGCTTGCTAAGCAGCGGAAGAAGCAGCAAGCTGATGAGCATCCTTCTAAGCAGCAGTTTCAGTTCGATGACTAGGTGTTCCTCAACTTGCATCCTTATGTGCAATCTTCTTTGGCAGCTAATTTCCTCGCGTCGGTGTCTGGAGCCACTAAGGCACACGCAAGGGAGAGGGAATGCCAACCTATGTCTACTGTATCGCTTCCGACAACAGGCCTGGCAGCGGCGTCACAAGATGATGGGCTACTGGAGAAGAGACAGAGCCGGCCCAAGACCAAGAACGTGCGTCTCTGCGGACCGGAGTAGACTGGCGCGTGAACAGCCGGCGTACACCTGCACGGCGCTGAGAGCAGTCGTTTCCTGATATATATGTAATAGCTTTATTGTAGAAGGATCCATCATCAAACTTGTACCAAACTCAGAACTTGGCTAAGCAGTCCTCCTCTGAACTCTTCCCCAATTCCTCTGCCTATGCCAATTTCCAGTTCAATTCTATCGATAGCTAACAGCTTGACAGCTACAACCAGTAAATTAAACAAAAACATTTTTGAAGAAATTGTACCGATGATGCTTTTCCTTTCTACTGGTTCCATGATCTAATTTGAGTCATAGGAGCTGAGTAGTAATCAGATGAAAGAATGCGGTGCCTATAGGAAAAAGCGCCTACCTGAGTGGGGTCTTGGGTCTTTGGTACATCCTTTGCAGAGTTCTTGGACGGAATCATTGTGATTGTGACCATATTTGCCAACAGAACCCTCCTGATCCTCACCCAGGTATACCAACTCAAGATGCACAAATATCTCCAATGAGATGCCCCCCTAGATCTTGCAGAGATTAATTTGCAGACGAACCAAATCGAAAGCTAATATATATTGTGGTGGGGGGATCTATACCGAAGGAAGAGTTCCCTTTCTATCCAGCATCTGATATTTGTTTCGAATGAAGAATCCGATCTTGGTCTGTTTTGCTAAAGAGATGCCCTCGATCGAGAGGAAGCGTACAACTAAAAACCTGAAAGAGATTCAATTAATAAAAAAAGACGACCTCAAATCACTCTCATGTAGTCATGTATCGGTCCACTTCAACTTCAACCCAAATTCCAGACCTTATTTATTTATGTTGCACAAGGCCCATGGTGCGCATCAGAGATTCATACAGGGTTCAACAGACTTACTCAGTTACTCCATCTATATACTTACTGTAAGACATGATGAAGGCAGAACTGCGCTGCGCAGCATAGTGATGAGAACGAGCTCACTTGCGGCCATGGACGAACATGAGGTGGAAACCACCGAGCACTGTGGCAGCGGCCATCACCCAGGCCAGGATCATGAAGCCGAGGGGCAGCATCGTGCCGACCTTCCAGGTGAAGCCGGCCGTGAGCGTCGTGGTGAGGAGCCACACGGCAAGCCTGTCCGGCCCTGGGCCACCGACCCGGGCGGCGAGAGCTGGAAGCGGCGGGTGGCGTAGAAGAGGGCGAGCAGGTTGAGGTGGGAGCAAGGTTTTTTTTATCGGCCGAAATTCACGGAAATTTCCGAAATTTCCATTTTATCCATAGGGTCCGATAAAATTTGACATCGGTCAAATTTTTCCCTTCTTTCCTGCTTCCACACATACAACCTAAATTCAGCCATGCAACAATCCCACACTATAATATTTTATTCTTGTTTTTATCTGTGAACAAGTGATGTTTAATAGCTTAGGAATAGTTTCAAGTCAAAATCTACGGAACTTTTTCAAAACAATTTGATTTTTTTTTTGAATTTGGTCCGATATTTCCGATATATCTTGCTTATCCTGTTTATCCATGACCTCCGATAAATTTTTATTTCCGATAATGAAAACCTTGGGTGGGAGAGGCCGATGAAGGCGAGCGCGCCACGGTTGTCGCGGACCTTGGCCAGACGGAGAGCACGGTTGCCGGGCGAGGACGACGAGATCACCACGGTGGTCAGGAGGCGGCCAGGCGCCGGCTGGCGGTCGAGAGGATCGAGACCCGCCATCGGGCTGGCGCCGGTGGTGGGGACTGGCCGACTGAGGAATAGCGGGGTTTCTTCGATCTCGGAGACCTGCTTCCTGTAGGAAACCGTGTGCTGCGGTGCTGCCTTCTTCTCTTAAGTCTCTTATTTACTCTTCTATATATATATATATATATATATATATATATAGCAAAATGGATGAAAAAAAAGTCGAAGCGACTTATAATTTGGAACGGAGGAAGTACTGGTGACTAGAGCTACTCTTGTGTATAGTATAGTCATAGCGGCTACGCCATGTCGTTGTGTCATGTTATCAAGTCAGAAGTCCGGCCGGTTTCCTTTCAAAAGAAAAAAAATAGCGGATTTGAAGAAAATGAATTCTTTGGAATAGATTACTATAGTGCGGTCTTTAAAAGACACCATGTGATCGATCGGTCTTCAGAAGCGACTATACAGCTAGATCTTATTTGGCTATCTATTTGCTCTTATTGACGGTAACGGGGGATAGCATAGTGCTTGAGACGAAAACTTTGTTAAATTTAATTGTATTTTTTTCTGACACTTATTTCAATATTGATTCTTGTTTTTTTTCTCAATATATAGTTCAGCTATAGAGGATATAGGATGCCTCTAGAACGCCGTCTTTTGTAATAAAGAAAATAAAAAAAGAAAGAAAGAAAGAAAATGATATCATGCACGCTCG